CTCCCTCTCCAGCACTTTTGGGATGGGTTCATCCCCCATTTCCAGCTCCCACCTCCACCCACCCATCCCTGCTCCATCTGCTGAGGTTTCCCCCTCAGGCAGCAGTTCCTGTGCTGCTGCACACGGGGAAGAGCTGAAACTAAAGACAGAGGCTGCAGAGGATTCCAGCAGCACAGGAGATGCCCAGATCCAGGAGGAAAAGAGGGAAGTGATTTATCAGCTTGTCATTGCTTCCTCTCCCTGAAGCCCAGAGAAACTGGAGCCTTAAATTCAGTGTAACAGACCCTGCTGCCTTCTCCAGGAACCTTCCCTTTGACCGTGGCTTGGTCAGGGGGTAAAAAAGTCCCTTTTCCCCCAAAGCCTGTGCACCTTCCTCTTCCTTAACCCTTTTCCTGGAACCTCTGTCCCTTGTGTTTGGGGATTTTTCTCTCGGCATCCTCCAGCTCAAACAACTTTGCTTCCAGTTTGGGCACTGACCGGCAGCATCACCGCCCTGCAGGGCTTGGGGCTCACTGACCCCCTTCTCCTTGCTCCTGGAGCTTTTCCCTGGCACTCCGCACCCCTCCAGCCCTGGCACAAGCCCCACCACACCCCTGGGCTTCCCACAGACAATCCCAGGCTTTGGGAGTGCCCAGCCTCAAAGCCAGGTCCTCATAAGACAGGAAAGCTGGACAGGACAGAACGCACATCAAGCCAATAAGGTTAATCAAACATTCTCCATTTATTAGTGAGAAGATGGCAGTTTAAATATACTTCTACATAGTTTACAGTTTACAAAGGCACTCTCATTAGCAGGCTAACATTGTTTGTCTTTGTCTTAAGGTGGACTAAACCTCACACTATAAACCTGTACTACTTCACACCCAGGCAGCCCAGTGCTCCCCATCACACCTTAATACAACGTCTAACTGCGCCACAAACTTAATTTCCAACTGCATCACAGGCTGGAAGGCCTCAGATCTCACTGCAGACATAAACCATGCCCTGTGTCTCTCAGAAGTGCTGCGACACAGCCCCGTGTCCCAGCTGGATGTGCCATTCCGGGGGCTGTGCAGGTGGCAGGAAGGAGCAGCTCCAGGTCTGCCTCCCACTGCAGCTCTGACAGCTCACATGGGAGCTCTCCCTGCTGCCAGCTGAGCTTTACATAATACATGCAAATTACCGGGGCTGCTAATAGACCTCCCCTACTTATCCTCACCTCGGAAGGTGCTCACTGTACTTTTCCATTAACTCCCCCACCTCCTTCCCCTCTCCCCCCAAACCCAGCGTGTTCCTCCTTCAACCCCACATGGTACCAATAACCACCACCCAAGCATCCCCACCCAAAGGGATTTGCTCCATCCAGATTTCCCTGGCACCTCAGCTCCCTTCCCTCAGCCTGTCGTGGTGGGAGAACGAGAGGATCCCATTCTTCATGCTCAGGGAAGATTTAAAGATGTGAAATCCAAAACTTCCCGGTCACGTGGCTTTTTCTGTCTTCCCCCCTCTTGTTAAAAGAGGTCTTAACTTTGCCTTCATGCCCTAACCACGAGAAGAACTGAACCAAGGGCACAGAGCTTTGCCCGAAAACCAAACTACATTTTGCACACACACAAAAACTCTGCCTGGAGCAGTTTATGGAGTGCCCCTTTGACCCAACGAGGCATTTGAACAGGCCCTGAGCTGGGTGCTGCAAGCTGAGGCTGTACTGCTGCAAAGAAGAAAGAGCAGAATATTCCTGGTATTTTATTACCAGCGAAATGAATCAAAATTTCAATTAATGAATTCCCCCGCAAAGTTTTGCAACACAGAAGCAACAACACCTGAGCACTGAGCAAAAGGGTGAAGCCAAGCACCCACAAAAAAACACACAACAAAGTGCTCTGGTTTTTTTACACCTTTTTTGTTTTCGGGGTGGTTACTTGGATGGTTTGAAGTGCTTATCCCCTCGCTGCCTCCTCCTTTGAAAGGGTGTGGAAATAGAAAAAGCTTCTCTTTGGGTCTCAGGCTGTTCAAAACCACCCCAGCCCGCAGCTGGAGGATGCCCTGGGAAGATCCCAGTGCTCCAGAGGGGCTTTGGGCAAGGAGAAGACAAGGAGAGAGATTCCCTTCTCCACTTGGTTATTTTTTTCTCCCATTCCAGGGGGATGCAGCTGCTCAGAGGACCCAGAGCTGGTGCTGCACAGCCCTGCCAAGGAACACTGAGCTGCAATAAAACCTCCCAGGGCAGCAAAAGCACCCAAAGATGCTCAAAATCCTGACCAGGCAGGCTGAAAGCTACTGAGAGCCTCTGAATAAAAGTGAGGGAAGGGAAAGCAGGGGAGATGGCAGAGAAAGAGAGGAGGAAGGACACCGGGGAGAGCCAGGAGCCTACAGGAAGCCAAACCCCCCGAGAGGGCTTTGGATTTCAGATTTAGGAAGAAGGAGCCTGAACCTCCCGTAGCTCTGGCGCTGGGGAAAGAAAATACTATTAAACAATACATAAGGAGAAGGAAGATAAACTGGATTTAAATAATAGCTTTTATTTCAAAGCTCTCCACAGAGCCTGGCTGAGACTGGGGAGGGTGGTATCTAATTACTGAGATTTCTACAGCTGGAATCCGATGATGGTAATCACCCAAAAAAGAGCACTTAAAAATGATTTAAGAGGGTGAAGGGAGCAAATAATGCACATTTGTTGTCGAGAGCTTAAGGACCAGCTATTTACCTGTAAGAGCACTTCCAACAAGACCTCAAAGTATTTCTGGATTGCCAAAACACCAATCCCTGTCACAGGGAACACACAGGGCAAGACCAGGATGGAAAAGCTGCAAACCTCCAAGTGGCATTTGGCCAAACCTCTGCCCTGCTCAGGTGGGAAGCAGAGGAGCTGCCTCCAGCTCCAGGGTTCCACCACAGGGACAACCTGGAGCTGCTGGAGAGAGCCCAGAGGACGGGCAGAAGGATGGAGCAGCTCTGCTGGGAGAGCTGGGATTGTTCACCTGGAGAGGAGAAGCTCCGGGGTGACCTCAGTGTGGCCTTGCAGGACCTGAAAGAGCCACCAGGAAGCACAGAGAAACCATTTCCAAGGGACAGAGGGACAGGACAGTGCTGCAAGGACCAAAGCTCACGGAGCCCTTTCAGCTGGATGCACTTCCCCTGCCAGCAGCAGGTGGGGTTGGTCTCTGACCTCTCCAAACCCTCAGATCTTCTCCCACCTCCCATCTCACACAGCAGCTGCTTTGCCAGGGACTTCCCAGGCTCGGGCTGCTTCTGGAAAACCCCTTCAAAAGACACAAAAAAAAGCAGGGGAGAGTAAAAGCAAAGGGGGAGGGGAGGGCAGCCAGAAGGACACGCCACACCTGCCTTGCTCTGCCTGTCCTCCTTCCACACGGGAAGATCCTCAGGGAAAACATCTCCCGCACCTGCAGCGGGCAATGGACACCCCCTTGGGAATGGGGTCGGGGCAGGAAGGAGGTGACAAACCCTCAGAGCACACTCTGGGGTCACTGCACACCCCAAATTGTGTTTTTCTCCACCTCATCCTCGAGGTTCTTCACTCTCCCACGCAGGAGGGGAACAATCCCTCAGCTCCCAGCGCCGATCGCATTCCCCAACACCTTAACACAAATCCCCCCACCCAAAAGGAAAGGGCAAGGAAAGGGTTACACATAAAAGGGTGGAATGAAAGAAGGGGGGAAAACATCCCACGGCTGAGGAATGTCAAACTGTCACAACGGCATCAAGCGTCTCCTCAGCGAGTCTGAGCCTCGGCGCGCGCGGAATCGCCGCGTCTGGGAGAAAAATCAGCTGTCACAGTAAATGCTTCCATCTCCAGAAAAAAAAACCTGCACAGAGCGGCTTGGCACAGAGGCACAGAATTGTTTTCTGCTGATTCTAAAGCCAGGCGCTCCAAAGGGATCAAAGGGCGAAGACTGCTTCCCACTGGAGCATCCAGAGGGAATCTGCCCGCTCACACACGAATTCTCGTGGGCACCTCTCGGGCACTGCCAGCCTCAGCAGGGCTGCCCAGAGGAACCTGACCCGTCCCAAAGCAGGCCCAGCTGCCTGGCTTTGGTTCACTTGGCTCTGGCTCACCCCAAACCAGCAGAACTCCCCAGGGACCGAGCGCAGCCAAGCACAAGTTGCACAACAGGCAGGTGAACTTTTCCTCCTGCCCTGCTCATTCCAGCTTCAGTAGCCCAAACTCTCCCCCCTGCCACCCCACTCTCCAAAAAGTTTCCCCCACCACCGCTTTCAGCCATTCACACTCCTCTCTCCTCCTTGAAAACACCACCACAAAGAATTCTCCCTCTTCTTTAGCACCCGACGTTTACTCACCAAGCTCAGCTTCACCCTCTGGCCCAGCCCCTCGCAGCCTCCTTTTCTCCTGCAGCCCATCATTTTTAATCACTTCCACCTGTAACTCACCTGACCCCCCAGTCAGATCCTTGTTCCCCACCGTTGGCCCAGGTGTCCCACTCACCACGAGCTCCCACACCTTTGATTTCCACCAATTCCCACCCCTCCAGCCAGCCCTTGCTCCCTTCCCACCCCCCCTTTGGTGTGGCACATTTATCACCCCAAATCCAGCCCTGGGGAAGCAGCAGCCTCCGCCGAAGGCACAGCAGAGAGCACCAATCAATTCCTCATAAGGAAACTGCAAACTGAGCCACGGGAAACTCAGCAGCCTGGATTTACACACGGGGGAATATCGGAATCGCTTTCATTTTGACTGCAAGAGTCATAACCTCGCATTTCACCGAGAGCTGAAACCAAACTAGAACCAGAGCACGTGTCAAAGCCATACGAGACTACAACTTCTGCATGGTTTTGATGCAAAATAATCTAAGCAGGCTGGCGGGCTACAAATTCTAACGATTCTGTGGACAAATCTGGGGCAAGTTTAGAATTTGTACTGTAGCGTGTTACTTGTCAGTTTTGGTTTCACTGTAAATATTTTTAAGCAGTGCACCAGTGGGCTCTGAGCGCAGCTCTCAGTGCCAAAGCAGGAGGCAAACGAGCACGGCAGAGGCTGGAAATTGCTTTCACTGGAATATTTTAATATTTATTTCATGTTGACTCTAGGTCCTGGCTGTCGGTGGTGTTGGCACCCAGGGGTGGCATCTGTCCCTGCAGTCCTGCTGCTGCAAAAAACAAAGAGTTCCTCTCTTGCACTGTGAGCGCTTCGAGGGAAAGGATGAGCAGCTCTGCTGAGAGGTACCAACCTCGTGGTGTGAGCAAAACTTCTCCTTCCAGCTCCGCCAGCTTCCAGCACCACCAACCCCATCCAGCCATCCCTGATCCACCAGGAACGTGGGAGCGGGAAAGAAGAACATGGAATATGCAGAGCTGGAGAGGACCCACAATGACCATAAAATCATGGAATATGCAGAGCTGGAGAGCACCCACAATGACCATAGAATCATGGAATATGCAGAGCTGGAGAGCACCCACAATGACCATAGAATCATGGAATATGCAGAGCTGGAGAGGACCCACAATGATCATATTCCATGACTATGCAGAGCTGGAGAAGACCCACAATGACCATAGAATCATGGAATATACAGAGCTGGAGAGGACCCGTAATGATCATAGAATCATGGAATACGCAGAGCTGGAGATGGCCCACAATGACCATAGAATCATGGAATATGCAGAGCTGGAGAGCACCCACAATGATCATAAAATCATGGAATATGCAGAGCTGGAGAGCACCCACAATGACCATAGAATCATGGAATATGCAGAGCTGGAGAGGACCCGTAATGATCATAGAATCATGGAATACGCAGAGCTGGAGCTGGCCCACAATGACCATAAAATCATGGAATATGCAGAGCTGGAGAGCACCCACAATGATCATATTCCATGATTATGCAGAGCTGGAGAAGACCCACAATGACCATAAAATCACAGACTATTCCCAAGTGGGAAGGCCCACAAGGCCCGTGGAGTCCTGCCGCTGTTCCCATCCGGGACATCCCCAAGGATGTCACCTCGTGCTTGGGGCAGCGGCGTCCACGGGCTCCTCTGGCAGGCCTGGGGATGCTCTCGTTCCCTGCGGAGCCTGCTCGGTGTCCCGCCACCCTCGGGGCACGGGGAAAAGCTCTCCCCGCTCTCCCCCAGCACTCACAGTACAGGAAGGCCGTGGAGCGCAGCAGCACGATGCGGGTCAGCCAGAAGGAGCCCGGGGCGAGCGGCGGGGCCGCGGTTCCGCGGTGGGGCCCGGGGGACGCGGCGGTTCCGCGGCGGGGCCCGGGGGACGCGGCGGGCCCGGGGGACGCGGCGGTTCCGGGGGACGCGGCGGGCCCGGCCGGGCGGCGCTGCCGCAGCCCCGCCGCGGGCGCCGCCATGTCCCGCACAGCGAGCATGTGCGGCGGGCGGGGCGGGGACCGGGAAACGGGGAACGGGGAAATGGGGAAACGGGGGAACGGGGGA